CGACCCCGCGCTGACACGCCAACGCGGATAGGTCCTGGTCGGTACGTTGTGTTGTTTGGTCTCGTCAGAGCATAGAGTCTGCTCTGCAGATGTGTACCGAGGCGCTGACCTCCAAGTAGTACGCGACCTCGGACAGCTGCTGCGCTCTCGACTCGGGCACTCGCTCTTTTTTCTCTCGCTCCTCCCGGACGGAGTTCAAGCTCCTGCTCTTCAGGTTTATTCCGCTACAGGGGCTGTTTTTTATTGCTCTATCTGCGTGGCGCTTCGTCCTGCAGCTGGCTGCTGTCCGCAGCGCCTCGAAAGGAGTTCTTGGTCAGCGGCACTCCAATGTCTGGTCGCATCTCCACCCTGAGCGCCTGTCTTAGTAATCTTTTGCGCCTCGCCACTCTTCTTTCTCTCGCAACAGCTGTGGCGTCGTTGAGGTGCGGTTCTGCTGATGTTGGGCTGCAGCTTTTGCTGTCAAGGTATGTGTCCTGTATTTGCTCTAGCTCGTAGGCTTGTATGGGTCCATGCTGTATCTGTCGATTGTAGTCAGTGCTCGGTTGTGTCGTGGTGTCTGCATTTAATTTGGCTGACGCTGGTGGACTAGCCAGCCCTCTAGGGGTCTTTGTGCTTGCCATGTGGTCTGCTTGCGAGCCCAGGTGGCTGGAGTCGAGAGGTTGGCGGGCAAGCCAGGCTCCGTCGACTGCAAGCGTGGGGTGCTCCTCGAGTACCCGGCGCTGGGAGACCTCCAGATGTGATAGATCTGGTAGTCTCGACCTGCTGCCTGGGTCCTCCTTCGCATGGCTGTGCTGCCTGGGCTGCGACGCCGCATGGGCCGCCGCGGCTCCCGCGAAGTGGGATGTCGAACAAGGCGTGGCCAAGGGGTGTCGCCTTGGTCCACGCTGTTGGCACTGCGTTGGACTGCTCGAGTAGCTCTCCCACTCTTGTTGCAGTCTCACCCTGTCGCGGTGCTGGTTGCTTGTCTGAACCCCGCTGGCAGTGGGGCTCGCGGCCTGAGGGAGTCGCTCAGGTCCGCGCTTGAAGCGCTCAGACTTGATGTCGCCGTTCTGTGGGTGGTCCCCACCCTTGCCCACAGACGCGGCGTCTAGGGAGCTGGAAATGCAGGTAGTTCGTCTGCTACGTCTTTTGAGTCGGGGCTCCCTAGTAGAGCGTTGGTGGTTTGAAGCGGATGCGGCATCCCCCAGGCTCGCATCGGCTTGGACATAGCTATGTAGTGTGATGGAGGCTAGGTGCGATCGTGTGCGTATGGCCGAAAGCCATGGATGTGGGTCGTTGGGCGTAGGCTCGTCACCGCACGGGTCTCTGAGTCTGGGCCCGATGTCCCCGATATCTTCTGGTGTAGTTGTCTGGGCGCAGGTCTGGGCCAGTTGCCCCCCAGCCTGCGTACTCCGTGTCAGTTTTTTGACAGTCGACCCCCGTCGAGGTCGCTCTCGCCGCTCTCGATGAAGGATGCCACTCTGTCACCTGGGTCCGCGAAGCCATCGTCCGCGTCGCAGATCCTGACCTTTTTCGGCTGGCTCCTCGCCCTCCTGGGTTCCCTTGGTTGCTTCAGGTTGCCTCTGCCTGGAGGTGCCGAGCTCGTCCTCTCTGGTGTGCCCAAGTGGAAACGCGGTGGTGGCAGTCGTGGCTCGTGTGGCTCGGTGGGCGTGATATCCTCAATCGGCATCCGTGGAGGTGTGCTGGGGCAATCCTCCTCGTCGCGGCTGAGGTCGATGAACAGCGTCGTCATGGGAGTCTTGGCCGTCTGTGAACGCTGTTGTGGGGTTTTGTGTGGCGTGAGAGGCGTGGCGGGCGGAAACAGTATGTGTCTTGGCGTGGGCTGTTCCGTCGGGATGGGTGAGTCGGCTGGTATCGTTGGTGAGAGTGAGGCGAGGTCTGTCGGGGCTTCATCCTCCTTCTCCTTGCGCAGGCCTCGGCGGTTCTTCATCTCTTCGTCCAGCAGGTCAGCGTCGTCGGATTCGCCAATTGGGATGCAGTCGCTGCTCGCCCGTACCTCGAGCATCCCTGAGTGCGAAAAGGATCCGACACGGTTGTACTCCTCGATGTGCGGGCGCTGCTGAGGCGGTGGTGGAGGTAGCGGACACTCTTCGGCGGATGTCCTCGGCACAAAGCTTTGGTTCTGGAAGCTGAGGTCGTCGCTCGACGAGAGGGTAGGCTCCTCTGGCGTTGGCATAGACGATGTATGGGACCTCTCTCCAAATCCCACCTCGGCCAGCTCCTCGAGGTACGGCGGTAGTTCTGGATGTGGAAGTTCGCACTGGCTAGGTAACAGCCGAAGTAAGTCTGCCTCAAGTTGCTCCCTCTGGTACGCGCCCTCCTGGTCCGCCATGCCTTGGTCGCGCTCACTCGTGGCTGTGTCTCCCATGAGGTCATCCGTCATGTCGATTAGCAGGTCCTCGTCCACTTGTCCTCCTGCTCCCCAGGCATCCCGTAGTGCAGTCTGGAGTCCTGCCGTTTGCAAATCATGTGCACGTTGGAGTTATGGTAATTGCTGCTGCCTCTGTGCTTCGTTCATATGATGGTTGTGGGCGTAGTGCTGCGCGATGGCCTGCATCTCCTGCTGGTGCTGGTGCTGCAGTGTGCTGTGGTACTGATGCGCCGCTTGGTTCTCCATCTCCTGCTGCTGCTGTAGTGCCTGGAGTTCGCTTGTGGCTGCTGCTTGTCGCTGCAGTGCCACCTCCTCCATCCTTTGGGCTTTGTCCACCGCCTCCTGGTGCTCCCCGACGCGCTCCAGATACCTTTCCTGCTCGTGCTGCATCTCGTATGCCTTCGCCTGGATGGCTGCATGCTCCAGGTTCAGGACGACCCGCATCGCTTCGCGCTTGTTGGCTTCATCCTGATGCTCGTGGGCCATCTGCTGATAGTTCACTGCGATCCGCAGCTCCTCCTCCTTATAAGCGCTGTGACGGGCGCATCTCTCCTGGTACTCCGCCTCCACCATCTCCTGCGTCGCCTTCTCGTTGTGCTCCTGCGCCATCTTGTACCACTGGGCCTCCTGGGTTGCCATCTCTCTCACAGCTTGCTCTTCCTGCCTGGCCTTCTGGACCTGCTGCGTGTAGATGGCTGCTCTTCTCTGGTCTTGTGCATCTCCTCGCGCAAAGTCTTCTTTTCCAACTCAATATGCATTTGCAGGTCTGCGAGCATCCCTTTGGCCCTTTCCTCCTGTGTCCTCTGGGTGCCTCTTTGTGCTTCGTATGCTTTTGCTTCCTCCTCCTCCAGCTTGGCGTTGTGGTGCCGCTTGAGTGCGTTGACCTCCCATATGTGCCACTCCTCCTGCTTGGCCAACTGCGCTTCGGTCGCGTGGTACATCTTTTGCGCGATGGTCTGCTCGTAGGCCTTCAGCTCGCTTTTGTGCTTGAACTCTGCTTGTGCTAGTAGGTCGCTTTGCTGCTGTTCTTTTTTCTGCTGCGAATCAAGCCTCTCGGTCAATCTCCTGATGGCATCTTTGATCTCGTCTGATGCTGCTGGGACTGGTCGGGGCTGCTGGGCTGGGGCTGGCTGAGCTGTGGCTGGCTGGGCCGTGGCCGGTGCCACTGGAGCTGCCGAAGGGTCGCGCCTTCTCCTCGCGGCCGGGTGTGGCGTGCGTCCTCTGGTGGGATCATGGCTCCCATCTTCCTCAGACGATTCGTCCTTTACTCCCGCCGACTTGGCCATTTGATCTCTGGTTTCCCTCATCAGGGTCTTGTAGACCCTGATGGTTCTGGCGGCCGTCGCCTCCTGGTCCAGCATCTTGCTGAGCCGCTTCTCCATCTCGGCATGCTCCTCCTCCAGCTTTTCCAGCGTGGCCCTGAGCTGCTTCATGCGTTCTTTGTGGGGCAGAACGAAGGAGATGTTCGCGGCGGTGATCGCCGCTTCCTGCTCGAAGCTGTTTGTGCACAAGCCGGCCAGCCTAGCACCTGCGATGTTCTCGGAGAGACGACCCAGCCTGTGGCACTTGGTCTTGTACCACACGAACCTCATCTCTTCGTCATCTGGTGGTGCGGACCAGCTCTCGTGCTCCATCGCGACGGCGAAGGAGACTGGCGTGATGCTGTCCAGGACTGCCTTCTGCTGGGGGCTGTACTGGTAGCTGCCGATGTGGGCTGCGGCAGGCGCGTCGAGCTGGTCCCTTCTTCTGCGCCTGCCGCTTCTCCTTCTGGCTGAAGCGCTCCTCCAGGGCGCACTGTGCTTCCAGTGCTGGTCGCTGTCGCTTTGCTGCTGGTGCTTGTGGGTCTGTGGCTGCTGCTGCTGGTGGTGGCGCTTGTGGGTCTGAGGCTGCTGCTGCTGCTGCTGCTGACTATGCTGCTGCCACTCCCAGGGCCGCCCACCAATGGCTCCGTAGTCGCCAGTCCAGTCTGCGCTGCGCTGGCGCTGCGCCTGGGCTGTGGACCCTGCTCCTGTCCACCTTTTCCCAGGGCCGCGCCGCGACGCCTCGAGGTGTGTGGTCCCTGCTCCTGACCACCTTTCCTTCGAGGCGTCGCGCTGCTGATTCCAGTTTTGCTTCATGACGTGCTGCTGGTGGCGCTGGGGCTGCTGCGCGCTGTGGTGGTTGCTGAGGATGTGCGCAGCGTCCAGCACGCGGAAGAGGGTCCTGGCGTTGGCCCTCTTTTCCCGCTGGCGCCTGTGCCAGGCGGGCTCGCCCTCTCGGGGCGTGGCGGCTCTGCGCCGCCGCGGCTGCGGCGCCGATGGCGCGCTGCGCGCTGCCACGAGCGGCGGGGGCGACCGACGAGACGACGGCCCCGCCCCTCCTCAGCCCGTGGCTCTCCTCCTCCCTCCTCCTCCTCCTCCCTCCCCTCCTCCTCCCGGCCCTCCTCCCCTCCTCGCGACCACGACGACGACCTCGACGACATCGCCTCGACGACAAAGCACAGCAAACGCCATGCAGAGGCCGACGGCCGGCAGCCGACGACGGCCGAAGGCAGCGACGGGCGACGACGACGGCGACGGCGGCGACGACGACGGCGACGGCGACGACACGGCGACGGCGACACCCTGCCGGCAAGGCGCGGCGCGGCGTGCCGGCTCGGGGAAGCACTGCTTCATCGCGTGGCCCAGCTGGCCGTTGGTGTTGGAGCCTGGGGAGCGCGTGGGCGCGTCGGCGAAAGGGGCGGCCGAGCGCAGAGGGGGCAGAGCATCCCCCGACCAGAATTTGCTGCCCCGACGCGCGAGGCCGCTTAGGAAACGCACTCCACGGAGGAATCGCACAGGCCGGGGCCGTTGAGCGAACAGCCGGGTCCGTCTAGTTTGTGGATGCCACGACAATGGACACCCTAACAATCCTACCCTTGAACTGAACATGTGCTCAGAATGTCGGAAATATGTTCTCAACATGGTTTGAGCATGTTACTTTACATGTTTAAGACATGTTCGAAACATCTTTTAGACATCTGGAAATTATTTGGCAGCATGCTTCCTCTCCATTGATCGTCCTCCACAGCGTTTAGTAAGCCAAACTATCAGGTCCGGGTGCTCTTGTTCCTCCTCTTGAAAGCGGGGCCACGACAGGGGGGCCAGCCCAGACGCCGCAGGGAGGACCACCGGCACTTTTACACCTTCGTGGCGGTGGAGATGAGCATCGAGTACCGAGGCGATGGGAGCAACTCCTGGGAGGTCTTCGTGAGGGCGGTTCGAGGCCACCAAGCCAGATTGGAAGGCCGCTGAGCGGGATTGGTCCAGATCGAGCCCAAGATTAAGCACAGGATGAAGCGGAATGAGGCCTGATTATGCCAGATGTCAACCACAGATACTGCCGGACCTGGGCCAAACATACGTCCCTCAAGAACATGAGACCCTCCGCTGGCCAAAACAAACAGAACATCCGAGGATACCCTCCGCATGATACGCGAGAATGCGAGAACATCCAACAGACACGAAGGACACTAGGGGACCCTCCTGGAACCGACCTCGATATTGTACCTCGGTGCGACTGTACCCCGAAATGCTTTTACCGTCGGATCTGCGAACAGTGCGTAGAATGATACGTAGATCTACGTTGCATTCTACGCACCTGTCGTGGATTCGACGGATCATCAAGCTTAGGGCCAAGCAATTCTGTAGCCGCTTATCCGCCGAACCCACGAACGTGCGGAGAAGTCTCTTGCAGATCTGCGGAGCACTCTACGGCAACAGTCGTGTGTCAAAGCCATGCTGTAGTCGATCCCCGACTGGAACGCGGTGCTTAGTTTTTCTGTGGGTTTTATTGTTTTTGTTGCTTGCCGCCGTGGGAGAAGGGAAGGGAGGATGAAGGCGGATGGGGAGGGAGGACGGTGAAGGGAGGATGAAGGCGGAGAAGGAGGAGGAGGAGGAGGAGAAGGAGGAGGAGGAGGAGGGGGAGTAGGAGGAGGAGAGGGAGGAGGAGGGGGAGGAGGAGGAGGAGGAGGACCGCATACTCCACAATCCCCTGTCCTCGTTTTTCGGGTGGTGGGGGGAGGGCGGCCCAGGTCTTCGAGCATGGTGGGCACGACGCGACGGAGGTCTTCTCCTCGCGACGTGGCGCTCCGGGCTGTGCAGAGCGTCGTCGGGGAGCGCCGGGCCTGGGCCCATCCAAACCTGGGCCAGTCAGGCCTTGCATCAAGTCGGGCCTGTCCCCCTACAGGGGGATATTGGGCGAAAACTGATAAATACACAGAACATGCTCCCCAAATGCCCAACAGATATTCAAAAACTAGTGCCACGACTATTTTTTACTATTTTTGCATCGTCCTCCTGTGGAGGGACACGCCCGACTTGAGCCTCGCACCCAAGCCCGGGTCAGTGCCACCCCTGGCCCTGCAGGGTCCTGCAAGATCTGGCGCTCCGACTGGCCCCCGCCTGCATGGACCCCCGTCTCTTGAGCCCCGACGCCGGCCCGCGACGAGCAAACCGGTCCCCGGCGCGGCGGCGAGAGCTCCCTGGACCTGCGGCCTCGCGAGAGGACGACGTGGGGGGTCTGGGCCTGGCGCACGGATGGCCTGCACGTGCACGCGAGCACGAAGATCGAGGGGCGCCTCGGTCGAGGGAGGAAGGGCCACGATCTCAGTAACGAGAATGGCCCCTCAATCGAGGGTGGCGGCAAAGATAAGGCGGCCCACACCTGTGTCCCGTGTCGCGTGCACCGAGTGGAGTGAGCGCAGGCCCCTGACAGTCCTCGACGTGGAGTGCTGTGAAGACGTGGGGGCCGAGCGGCCTTGCAGTGTCCCTCGGTGCATGGCGGAAGTGGGGGTGCGCAGTGCAGGCCCCACGACAGCTCCAGAGGTGCCCAAGACGGCCCAAGAGACCCAAAGGGCGCGCAGCTGGGGACCCCGAGCGGACATCCTCGAGCCCTCGGCCCCGATGGGGCCCCCAAGAGAGGCCCCAAGGAGGCCCTCTGGAGAAGCCCAGAGGCAGCCCAGAACTGCCCTCCAGAGGCCCCCACGGACCGCTCCGTAGAGACCCCAAAAAAGCATCATCGAGAACTCTGCCTCACAGCCCAGGGGCAACGGCTGGATCAGCCGAAGGCCACTATAGATACTCTGATTCGAGCCGAGCGGTCTTGCAGCGTCCCCGGTGGCGTGGCTGAACTGGGGGTCCGCGGTGCATATGTTTCATTTGTTCCTGAAGATTTCATTTCTGAGAGATCGTGATTGCTGGTCCCCCTCCCTGGAAACATCGTTTGTCCCATTTGCTGTGCCTGCTTGCTTGCACAAATGAGTCTTGGGTCTCCAAATTGCGTTGTTCGCCCCCGGACTGACATAACAACGGCTACCGCCTGATACTTCCTCACAATTGTAGTGAGAAATCGGATTTCCGCTGGAGTTTCCGTTGCAACGTACTGTAGAACCGCACCTTCGCTGGAGACATCATTACAGCTTCTCCACAAACAATGAATGGACGTTGGAGTTCCTGCTCATGTTCCGACATTTGGGGGCGGCCAAGAGGGGGGTGTCCAAGACGGGGGAGTGCAAATCATGGCCGGTGGCATGTGCGCGGCCCAAGGGGGGGCCAGGGACGTAATGACATGAAAAGAGGCGCCATGAAATCTAGGGAAAAACCGCGCCCCACGGCATGAAATCCCCCCCCTTGTCATCACCCCCAGTTTTGTCGCCCCCGAAACTCGCCATCGCTCGGACGTCCATTCCCTGTGTTTTTTTGTCGGTGTCGTGCGTGGTTTTTTCGTCAAATGATCAAGGATGCTCCTCGATGGTCCTCGCCGAAAGAAAAATGCACACGTCCAAGCGATGCCAAGAATTACCCGACCACCTGGATTCCACGAGTTGTCGATCTCAGACAAAAGCTAGGATCGACCATCCCCACGGGATTCTCCGCCAGCGTTTTTGCATCGCAGTGCTCACATGGTTCTGCCCCGCCGTCCATCCGAATCTGTGAACTCGTACCAACCCAGCCCAGCCCGTATTGAATAAGGACGCGCGATAAGGATGCAAGGGCCTTGGAAGGAAATGTCGGCACTTTGCGAGCGGGGCGCGGCCAAGGCCGGGCCAAAAAGGAAGGATGCAATGGTAACCTCGGAAAGTCGCTCATCCTCACAATGCGGGTTGACTGTAAAGCAATGCAGTCTCCATCCTCCTCCTCATCCTCCTCCTTCTCATCTTCGACCCCTACTTACTGCATCCTTGCGGTTCCATGGGAGGTTGTCAACTGCGCAACAGTCTCCACAATTCACGGAGATGTGCAGGAGGGCACCTCTGTTTTGTTTTCCCAGACATCAAGAATTTCGAACAACTAGGTGATATCCTCAAACAAACACTGCCCCAAATCACTAAACCAGTAGGTTCACACAACACCGTCTCAGCCAGAACTGTCCCGAGAGCACTCCCTGACAACCGCACAACAAGAGGCTTATAACATTCTTGCGAAGGCCTTCTTATCCTCCACCGTGCCCTCCACGCAAGAATGGGGTAGGAACCTAACTTTATACACCGATGCTTTTTTCTGGTCCCGCACTGAGACTCGCACAAGAAAACGGATTCTGGTGTATACGACATCCTGGTGTGTACATTTTTTGTTGCTTCCTTGGGAAAGCGGAGGAAAAAGTATACACCACGACACCCCGACGTCGTCCCCGACCCTCAAAAAAGTCCTGGGATTGAAAAACCGCCCGTCACTGGTAATGTATATGTTCCAGATCCCGAGTAAGGAGCGCCCTCTGGTCCCTTGTCGCATCCCCTGCAGCCCTCGAGAGCGCCGTGCCCAGGGGCGGGACCATGCCGGCGACCCCGCCGCTGCCCGGGAGGCTCGCCGCCGAGCAGGGCGCCTGTCAGAATTCGCCCTGGGAGCCTTCGCCTGTAGCCTTAGCCATCAGTCCTGGGATTAGAGGCCTCCTAGCTGGGGTCGGAGTAGCTGGGGTCGGAGGACCGTGTCGCACCGCCGATACATCGGCGACGCATCGGCGATGCACCGGCGATGCATCGTCGACGTCGGCGATGCATCGGCGACGTCGGCGCGAAGCAAATCGGGCTGCACATCGAGCCGCATCGGCGATGCATCGGCGCTGCGGTGCGATCCTCCGACCCCACCTGCTACGACCCCGTCCAGGAGGCCGAGAGGGATTCTGAAGAGTGACGGGGCCCCAGGAAAAACACAAACAAATACACACAAATACACACATATTCCCTATATTTTTTTTCAGACGTGCTGGGTTTTTGTCTTCCCCCCCACTTCGCATAGTTTCCCATATTTCTTGGGAATCGACGATTCATTGCATCTGTGTGTTTTCTCCCCTCCTGAAAGAGGGGGCCCTTGGCCCTCACGCCGCCAGGGATCTCTGCCGGGGCGCGCCGCGTGGCCCCCCCCCGGGGGGCCGGTCGCGCGGCGCCGCACGAGGCCTGCTCGAACCCATAAACCCCCCTCCTCCTCCTCCTCCTCCTCCTCCTCCTCCTTCTCCTCCTCCTCCTCCTCCCCTCCTGCTCCTCCTCCTCCTCCTTCTCCTCCTCCTCCTCCCTCCTCCTCCCTCCTCCTCTTCCTCCCCCTCCTCCTCCTCCTCCCTTGTCATCACCCCCAGTTTTGTCGCCCCCGAAACTCGCCATCGCTCGGACGTCCATTCCCTGTGTTTTTTGTTCGGTTCCGTGCGTGGTTTTTTTTTCGACAAATGATCAAGGATGCTCCTCGATGGTCCTCGCCGAAAGAAACATGCACACGTCCGAGCGATGCCAAGATGAGGGGGCCCCGGAAGGCCCCCGAGACCTTAAGACGATCCCCGAGAGGGCCCGGAGGCGCACAGAGATCGCTGCAAGACGCCCAAGATGGCCTCAAGACGGCCCAGGGATGCCCCAAAGGCGCCCGAAGAAGGGCCCCCAGAGGCCTCCCGGGGGACCCCGGGAGGCGCAACTCATTCCTGTTCCGCAGGTGTTTCAGGTATGGGCGCTCTCGCTGTGTCGGCTTCATGACGCTCCAGGACGGCCCACGAGGCCTCCGAGATCGCTCCAAGACGGCCCACGAGGCCTCCCAGAAGGCCACGAAACGATCCCAGAAGGCCAACCAAAACGGCCCCAGAGGCGCCCAAGACGGTCCAAGAAGCCCCCACGACGGCTCCGAGAGAGGTCCCCACGGGTGACCCGGGCGCCGCGCCACTGCTTGATGGCCACGGCTCGGTGGCGCGCAAACACGGATTAGCGATCACCTCCCGAAATGCGGCCGGTGCCGCCTCGCTCGGCGGCGGAACTCCCCGATTTCCCATGGAAAGGGGGCCCGTCGCCAATCCACGTCCCCTGGATCCATGCCTGCGATCGCCTGATTGACAGCCATGGCCCCGTGGATCACCAAGTCGGGGGCGAGGGTCCTGGCGGGAAGGAGGAGGAGGAGAATGAGGAGGAGGGGTCCCCCTCCTCCTCCTCCTCCTTCTCCTCCTCCCTCTCCCTCCCCCATCCCCCTCCTCCTCCTCGTCCTGCTCTTCCTCCTCTCTCTCCTCTTCCTCCTCTCCTCATCCCCCTCAGAGGGATGAGGAGGAGGGGGGGCGGTGCCGTCCTCTTTCCCCGCTCGGCGGCAGCGGCGGCGCCGACAGTCGGGGCGGCGAGAACCCCATCCGAAGACCCTGGAGCTCTTCGTCACGCACGCGGTGTGCCCACCTGGGCGCCCAGCGTCGACGCCGCGCGGCTGCCCGGCCAGCCACCAGGCCCTCGCGTCCTCCTCCTCCTCCTCCTCCTCCTCCTCCTCCTCGTCCTTTTTCCCCTCCTCCCCCTCCTCCTCCTCCTCCTCCTCGTCCTCCTCCTCCTCCTCCTCCTCCTCCTCCTCCTCGTCCTCCTCCACCTCGTCCTCGTCCTCCTCCGCATCCTCCTCCTCCTCCTACTCCTGCTGCTTGCTGATTCTCCCCCACCTCCTCCCGCCGCCTCCTCACGCCTGGTCCTCCTCCTCCACCTCCAGCTCGATCCTCCTCCCTTCCGATCCTCCCAATCAAGTTCGATCTCCACTCACTCCAATTCCACCTAATCCGCTCCCTCGTCCTCCTCTTCGGATACCCCATCAACGCCATCCTCTCTCTCAACATCCTCCTGTCGCCCCGTCCTCCTCCCCCTCCTGCCCCTCCTCCTTTTACTCGTTATCCTTCCCCCCTCCTCCTGCCTGCTCCTCCTCTTGCCTCTTGCCTGTTATCGGAGGTGGTTCCAATTAGGGCTTCCGAAGAAAAGAAACGGATGGGACTTGCCACCTCCATCAATATTGCATCACCTCAAGAACCAGGGGCGACATCTCGAACCTGAGGCCGCGACAGCAGGTGGCCTAGTCCACTATTCTGGCCAAGTCTTCCGATCAGGGGGAGCTTTCCTGCCTCCAGGGCCCGCAACACTCCCCTCCCATAACCAGTGAGGCCAGGAATGCAAAATCGTCCGAGCTTGAGCATCTTGCCCCTCGACGGCACCCCCAAACCTCCACAGAGCTGACACAAAAAGGCTCCTCGAGAAGCTTCCAGCCGATGGGAGACATGAATGTTGGAGGGACGACCTGGCCACGGGGAGCGCAGGACAGCCTCTCTCCCACCCCGATCGATGAGCAAACCAACAGTGCAACGCCATGGAGCTTGGGTCCTTTCCTCCGCCGAGTGGGCTGAAGACGCAACTCGTTCAGAGAGGGCCTCGGCTTTTTCCTGGCGCGCTCGGCCAGGGGACATGGTTGCCTCCTCCTGACGGTTGCCCTTGGCTGCCGTTCCATGCAAGGCTGGGGTTTGCGGGGCCAGGGACATCGAAACCACCGATAGGGAATCTAAAACTTTAGAACACAACGCATCAGCCTCCAACGCCTCGCGCTTGGCGTGCACAGGGGTCCGCGCACGTGCGGCTCCTGCCTCCGCAACTGCGTCTGCCGGGCGCGGCACTTGCCTCTGGGCTGGGTCAGACGGTCTGGGCACCTGCCAGGGCCAGTAAAGAACGGATTTTGTGGACCACGATCGGCCGAGAACCTGCGGCAGCCCAGAAACCGCGCCACATCGCACGATCTTCCCGTGCTGAAGCCTGGGCCCGATACGAGTGCCTCTTGCAACTCGCTCGCAATCGATTGCGCACTCAATATGTCCAGTTGATAACTAACGGAACAGCACGGGCCATTGCCAACAACTTGGGCTGCAGGGACGGTCTCCTGATCACAAGGCAGAGGCCCACGCCCCCAAGCCAAATTCAGGGGCCCTCGCAAACTGTCAAAGACCCAGCCACCACGCCTAAGCCAGGGATCGAACCACTCCTCGCCCCCCGCCCCGTCCGACCCAATCGCACATGCCCGCCACATGCTGGAACGGTTGCACCAGATGCAGAGGGCTGAGACATTACGACCCTTGGAGGAGGGCGCATACATGCTGATAGGCCAAACTCGAGGGGTGGAAGCACATACGCCAAAAGGAAGGGACGTCCGCTGAAACAGACTCCGCTCTCTCTCTCTCTCTTTCTCTTTCTCTTCCTCTCTCTATCTCTCTCTATATCTCTTTCTCTCTCTCTCTATCTCTCTTCTCTCTATATCTTTCTAAGTGCCAACGCGAGACCTGGAACCTGCTCGTTGAGCGGGCGCAGCCAAAACAGGTGGAGAAGGGCCCCAGTGGCGCTCCGCACCCTGGACAACTGGGGGAGGTCCAGACTAGTGTCGGCCCCGTGATAGAATCCTGATCATCTCAAACACTAAGATATCAGTCTGCTCTACGTCGGCCTCTGCCCTGGATGCCTCTTTCAGCGACGCATCGAAATCGGCTTCATCTTTCACTCCGAGATTGGGGGGAGGAGTAGGAGGCAGAGCCGGGGGAAGGTCAAAAGTTTAGGTGAAAGGGCGAAAGGCATCCGAGCCCCTTCCTCCGAAAGTCTGGACGCTGGCCAGAGGGCCCCCTGCATGGATCATGTCCGGGACACCTGCCAGATCATATGCTGCGGTTCCTCGAAGTGCGTGTGTGTGTGTGTGTGTGTGTGTACTGGGACAATCGCGCCTGCTCTACCTGCAATGCTGCTGCCGTGATCGCGCTCACTGGCTTGTCGATACTAAAACCTCCTAGCTCCGAGCAGGCAGAAGGCGAGGCCCTCGGGGGCGCAGGACAGAACATCGGGAACCTCATCGTCTGCTGATGTGGCGGGATTCTGGGTGGCCCATGCTGCTTCCAGCAGGCAGGCGACTGCGGCGGCTATGAAACCAGCGAGCGTTATTTCATCTTCTGTATAAAGAACGCGCGTCGGAACCCTGCAGCGCGTCCAAAGCCCGCCCCCAAGCAACTCGGACACTGTGCTCATTTGCCCGCTGCAGGCCCGGGGCTGGGACAATCCACTCCTCGGGCGCGCGTAAACGCGTGGATGTCATGCGTTCATGGCGGGGGCGCTGAAACGCGCGGCGCAGAACTGCAGTGGCGCAACACCCGTTCCCGTCTCCCCGCAATGCCTGCCATGGCCGCCATGGCCTCGGGGACCAAGGTCAGAATGGCCCCCCGGGCTTCAAGCCCCAGCGCCTGTGCCGGCCGGCACGTCCTGGCCAACGTCCTACTCGTGCAATCGGATTCAACAGCTCGCTTGATCCCGTTGGCCCCGTGGAGCGAGGCGTGAAAAGGCTGCCCGGGGGTCGCCGCTGAACGCCCGGCACCGACCGCGCCGATACCTGGGCCCCCCCTCCGCGGCGCCTTCGTCGAGGGAGACGTGCTCGAGGGCCCCAATTGGCAAGGGCAAAGGGATTCGGGGGGGGGCCTGACTCCCGACAGCTTGAATCCAGTTCGCACTGGCTGGCTGTCCAGACCGATGCTGGCCGCGATGGCTTGCCTCGCTGTGTGACCTCTGCTTTGCCTGCGCGTCGCTGATGGAGGGCGTCTACCCAAATCTCTAGCGAGGGAAAACGAAACCGCGCACTGGAGTCTTCAAAAATAGCCCAGGGTGCCACTTCGGAAATGGCTGCGCTCTGAGAGCACCCTGGCGGCAGACTCCTCATCGGGAAAAGCTGAGGGGGGGCGCCAGGGGCGCGCGGCCGTCTAGGAGCTCTGTGCGCATGTTGCGCAAGACAGAGCGGCATGAGGGGGTCGTCGACCTGTGCCGGTATATCTACTACATTGCGGAGGTCCGGATTAACATGGAACTTCAGCAGGTCCCAGAGGATCTGAATCTAACTGAATCCTGACGCTGACGCAACGCCGCAGTGGGTCTGGCGGAGAATGGTCGCCCGATGAGCTGACGACCTCCTCGCCGCCCGATCCCAATACTGTGCCCGCTCCACCGTCCAGTTCGATTTATCTTGCCGCCGAGCCCGGCCCCGCACTCGATGGAGGCCTTGGGTCGACGCAATCGGTCGGTCTGCTGCGATGATTATAAAGATGCTTTGGGCGATCCTGCGGGGGCCAGGATAGATCGGCCTCGGTATGCCGAAGGAGGTCTTGCAAATCTTCGAGGGCATCCGGCGGGGGTCGAAACCTATCCGTCGGGGGGGGGGGGGGGGCTGCGCCCTGGCCCGCGACTGGCGCGAAACAGTTTCAAGCGCATCCTGGAGCGGGCGCCCCGCGAGCTGGCGCTGAGCCCGGGCAGCTCGAGACGCCCCGGTCCGAAAGTTCCCCCGCAAGCCGAGAGTCGAGGTCCCCGGTCGACGCCCTGGATTTCTCGAGGTCCCGAGAGCCCCCGCCCCCTGGAGCTAGGCTTGCACGTGGTCGCGGTGGGATCGTGGACGACGTCTCTCTGGGCATCCCGCTCAGAGCGAATAATTGGGGCCTCGACCACCCGCGCTTTGGCGCGCGTGCGAAAGGCCCCGCTCTCCTTGGCCATGGACTGCTCCTCGAAACCTGTCGACGATTGCCTAGCGCGGTGGGCCTCGCGCCAGCGAGGGTCAAAGAAAAGCGCATCAAGGCAGCCCCCAGGCCCATCCTGGAGGCCAGCGCCCCAAGCTCCCCAAGGAAATCCAATGGCCCCCTCCCTCTTCCTTTCCCCATAGGGAGGCCGCGGCAACTGCCTGGCTCGATGCAAGGCAGCCTGAAAGGGCGCGGCCGCCGATGGAACGGACCGAGATTTCCTGGCGAGTCCTGCCCAGGGGCTGAGACGAGTGTGCACGGCAAACCAGACTGACAGATCCGAAAGGCCCGCTGGCCGACACTGCGGCTTGGATTCAACAACAGGGGCCCGCCGCGCAGCGGCATGGAACCCTCGACGCGTGTCCGAGGCATCCTAACGGGCGGTGGCATCCCTGGTTGCTTTGAAAGGCTCTGCTGAGAAACGGACCGTCACGCGGGCTCGACCTACCTCTCCTGGGCAAGACCGCCCACGAGACTCCATGCCGGCGCCTCCATGCCTGCCTGCAAAGGGGCCGCTCGATTCCCGTGGAATGCACCGGGTCCGTCGGGCCCCAAGGCAGGAACCAGGGGGGGGGGGCGAGTGGGGGCCCTGTGGGGCCCCTCAAACCAAACGTAATCGGGAGTCCCCACATTGCCTGCGCGGGAAAGGCCGCAAGCCGAATTTGGATCCCAACGCAGAGTCAGGGTTAGGCTATAAGCACCTGAGCAAACGCAGAAATTCTTCGCCCAGGCTCCACCCGGAACTTCGTCAGGCGGCGCGCGAAGGGCGCCCTGCAGACAGGGGGGCGCGGATGCCGCCCTCAACAGCCGCGTTAATCACCGGGATCCAGTTCCCAGCGATGACGCAGAGTTCGCCCTGCGGCCGAACGTACCCTGCCACCTCTGACAGGGCGGCAAGGCAATGCCCCCGCGTTGCAACCCAGACCTCGCGACCAGGTAGAAAGCGACAAACAGCGCATCAATGTGCCGCGCGAGAACCGCCTGGCTCGTCCGCGGGGCGACGACGCCTGCGCGTCGATCACTTTGCACCGCCCTCTTGACCACTGGATAGAGCGGGGCGCTCCGAAGCCACTTGCGCGTCATTGCCCGCGCTCCACCATGGAAGTCTCGCAGGGAAGTGCCAGCCGAAATCTGCGAGGTTACCGGCCAGCCACTTTTGCAAAGCCTCTTGATCGCCTGGATGTGCTGCGGGCGCTGCAAGGTGCTCGGCGACGACGACCGTGTCTGCCTGGAGGAACTCCCCCTCTTCCTGGTTCAGGTAGTCCGGCTTCCTCAGGGCGCGATGTTCGCGAAGTAGGTGAGATGCTGGGTCTTGGCGCACGAGCGCGAAGAAGAAAACCTGCGTCGAGGTGGGCGCAATCTGGGCCGGGGATGTCCCCGCCCCAGGGGCTGTCCCAGTCCAGATGGGGCGGTAGTGAGATCACTCCTCTCTCCAGCGATTTGGCGCATGAGGGCACCGCGCCCCCAGACCTTGCACGAGGTCCAGAGGCGGGTTTCGCCCGGTGCCCCATCTCTGCGTTCTCAGACCCAGGGCAGGGCCGACTGATCGGCCCCCGATGGAGGCGGGGCCGACTGCGTGAAAACGATTTGCTAGGATCCAGGTCCATCTGGACCTGTGCCGCCTCCTTCAACGAAAGGGCGGGTAGTCTGAAAAGTGCCTGTGGCAGTCGGGACTGACTGCGCAGTCGCCGCCGCCTTCGCTCGCATCTTATATTTTTGCTCGTCCTTGGGTGAGGCCGATTGTGCGCCTGCACCCGGCCCCGAAACCGGCTGCTGAGTCTGGGTCTGGCTACCTGTTCCCACGGGTTCTCCATCATCGCCACGTCGTTTCTTTGCCGGACTCTGCTTATGTTCGTCACGATGTCTGCGACGGTCTTCTGACTGCTCCTCGATTCGCCAAACATTGTCTGCGTCGCGCCACGGGGGGGATCCTGAAGGCTGAAGGGGCTTGACTATGCTCGAACCTTGTACCTTGTCCTCCTCAGCAAGGTTCACAAAATCGTTGAGCCCGCACAATTCAGTTTGGACAAACTGCAACTCAAGATGTCAGTCCATCCATAATAGCTGCCAAGACGATCCGGCTTGTCTCTTGAATGGGCTGGCGTGGACCAATATGTGCGCTGTGCAAATCCTGGACCGCATTGCAGTCTACCTCTTCATGCCGATGTAACTGTCGCAACACTTCCTTGATTTAAGTTGACTGCTGCTCCAGATGCTGCTGCGTTTCTACATTCTCATACTGGGCCACCATGGTTTGCAATGTGTTGTCGGCCTGGAGCAACACACGACTTGCTCGCTTGCACGGTGCTGATATGGGGGCTTGCAAGACAAGAGCAGGTGAGGACAGCACCGAGCGGTAGGCGTCAGCCGTTGTTTCGTAGCCAAATTGTGCACACCAGATAATATGCGAATTGATGTCCAGAACGGAACCATTACTCTTGTTGCCGTCGGGATCCTGGAAAAAGGGGAAACATGGCTCTGGCTTGAGAACCAGGTGTCAATACCTCACGTATCCTTCCTTTTGGGGGGCCTCGCAACCAGCCACTGCGCCTCGAAGTTGCCGAATGGAGCGGTATCTTTGTAACTTGTCCCATAAGTCGTGCACCAGTTCCAAAACCACTAGTTCTTGGCACAACCGCACGATCCCCATGTCAAAGCACCACGAGGCTTAGAAGCGGGAAGAGACGCCATGGCGAGATGGCCAAGGCGATCCCTGACACGGTCGCGACGAAAGTGAATTATTCAGCAGGAGCTCTGGCTAACTGAAGCCTCGTCGGACCTGGCACACACAAATGCTGCCAGCGAGCGTTTGCCCCCCACGCCAAACGGTCAAGTCCTGGGCCAACGCCGTTGCGACACGGCCTCCTCCTCCTCCTCCTCCCTCCTCCCTCGTCGTCCTCCTCCTCCTCCTCTTCCTCCTCCCTCCTCCGTCTTCCGTCCTCCCTCCTCCCTCCTCCCTCCTCCCCCCCCCTCCTCCCACCTCCGGCCTTCCTTCTCCCTCCTCCCTCCTCCCACCTCCCTCCTCTCTCCTCCCTCCTCCCTCCTCCCTCCACCCTTCTCCCTCCTCCCTCCTCCCTCTTCCCTCCTCTCGTCCCTCCTCCCTCCTTCCTTCTCCCTCCTCCCTCCTCCCACCTCCCTCCTCTCTCCTCCCTCCTCCCTCCTCCCTCTTCTCCCTCCTCCCTCCTCTCTTCCCTCCTCCCTCGTCCTCCTCCTCTTCTCTCCTCCTCCTTCCTCCGCCTCCGCCCCGCCTCCTACTCCTACTACTACTACTACTACGACTACTACTACTACTACTACTACTACTACTACTACTACTACTACTACTACGACTACGACTACTACGACTACTACTACTACGACTACGACTACGACTACGACTACGACTACGACTACGACTACGACTACGACTACGACTACTACTACTACTACTACTACTACTACTACTACTACTACTACTACTACTACTACTACTACTACTACTACTACTACTACTACTACTACTACCTACTACCTACTACCTACTACCTACTACCTACTACCTACTACCTACTACTACTACTACCTACTACTACTACTACTACTACTACTACTACTACTACTACTACTACTACTACTACTACTACTACTACTACTACTACTACTACTACTACTACTACTACTACTACTACTACTACTACTACTACTACTACTACTACTACTACTACTACTACTACTACTACTACTACTACTACTACTACTACTACTACTACTACTACTACTACTACTACTACTACTACTACTACTACTACTACTACTACTACTACTACTACTACTACTACTACTACTACTACTACTACTACTACTAACTACTACTACTACTACTACTACTACTACTACTACTACTACTACTACTACTACTACTACTACTACTACTACGACTACTACTACTACTACTAACTACTACTACTACTACTACTACTACTACTACTACTACTACTACTACTACTACTACTACTACTACTACTACTACTGCTACTGCTACTGTTACTACTACTACTACTACTACTACTACTACTACTACTACTACTACTACTACTACTACTACTACTACTACGACTACTACGACTACGACTACGACTACGACTACGACTACGACTACGACTACGACTACGACTACGACTGCGACTGCGACTACGACTACGACTACGACTACGACTACGACTACGACTACTACTACTACTGCTACTACTACTGCTACTACTACTACTCGTGCTTCTCCTTCTCCTCCTCCTCCTCACTATTCCCATGCCGGCAACCTCCGCGGGACACATCGGAAATAACCGCTGTCATACCATGTGCGCTCGAAGCTACAGGCTGGACGAGGAAGAGCGACCTCTCGCTGAGGCCGTCCACACGCTGCCGCATAAACCTCCTCCCCCCGTTCATCCCACAATCCTCCTCCTTCTTTTTCCCCTCCCCTGCCTCCTCTTCCTCCTCCTCCTCCTCCTCCTCCTCCTCCTGCTCTCGCACCTTCTCCTTTTCCTCCTCCTCCTCCTCCTCCTCCTCCCGCCCTCCCTCCTCCTCCTCCTCCTCCTCCCGCCATACTCCGCCCCGTCCCCCTCCCCCTCCTTCCCCCTCCTCCCCCTCCCACCACACGGCCTGGAGTGGCCGAGGGGTAGTAGGATCAAGGGCCGCGGTGGCACCGAGGGGGCACGCCAGCCGCGAAGGCAGGCTCAGGGGCCCTGGCCTGTGGGTAGCCCCGAGCCCCGCGGCGCGGATGCCCGCCCAAGGGGGCATCAGACCTGGCATCAGACCTGGCATTCTGACTCTCGGCACCCCGTTCCTCCTGCTCCTCCCGCTCGAGTTCCTCCTCCCGCTCCCCTCCCCTCTCCTCCTTCCCGGCTCCCTTCGGCATCTCGTCCTTCCCCCTCCCTCTCGACGTCCCCTCCTGAACCTTTTCCTCTGCTTCCCCCTCCTCGACATCCCCCTCCTCCCTGCGACCTTCTCCTCGTTACGTTCCCGCTCTCTCTCCTTACCCTCGACCTTCTCCTCCACCTCACCTTGTATACTGCTCCTCCCTGCCTTACACCTGCCCCCTTCTGATCCTTCTGTTCTTTCTCCTCCTCTTCCTCTTCCTCCTCTTCTGGAACATCTTCCTTCCCCCACCCCCTCCCCCATCCTGCCCCCCGAGGACTCGGGACGATGGGGGGACCACGGCCGGGCCGCCTCCGCAAGCGAAGTCGATGATTTCCTCGTTCGCCAGCAGGCCTTGGACCTGGCCAGCGCAGGCGCAGGAGTGGCGCAGGGCGACGACGAAGACGACGAGGACCTCCTCCCCCTCGTCCAGCACCTCCCCATGCTCCTCCCCCTCGTCCTCCCTGTCCTCCACCTCCCGCTCTCGACGCCTCGATGCTGAGGGCGGTCGAGCCTCCGCACGACCTCATACTGATGCTTCTCGTGCTCCTCATGCTCCTTGTTTTTCGCCCGACAACTGGCGCTCCCTGACCAGTGGGCGTTTCCCTTGCTCGAGCCTCCTACCTCTGGGTGTTCCTTCGCGTGGATCTTGTAGACGGATAGGTCCGTACGCGATGTTCTGCTGGATCGCGGTGGGAACATATTGGGATACACGCGCGCTGAGAGGGAGGGAGAGAGAGAGAGAGAGAGAAACAAAAAAGAGAGAGAGAGAGAAAGAGAGAGAGAGAGAGAAAGAGAAAGAGCAAGAGAGAGAGAGAGAGGTGCGCGCAGCCATCTCCGGTGACTCGCCAGCGGCGACATGTCCTCGCAAGTGTCTTGAGCCAGACGCGTGCGGCGGCACGCGCAGGGAAGCTCAAAACAGAGGCGTGCAGTCGAAATCTTCAGTAAGGACTGGCAGCAAGGACGCAAGCGCCTTGTACGCCGAAGCGCACACCTTTTGGGGCGGCGGACTGCCAACACCCGGGGGGACGGCCAGCGAAAACCGGGCGAAGGACGGGCCGCAGAAGCAAGGACGCAGGGATGTCCTGGGACATTCGCGCGTCTTCACTATGAATTTTGACTGCAGGGGGCAGAGTTGTGGATGCCACGACAATGGACACCCTAACAGTCCCATCATCGAATTAAACATGTTTTTTTGCTGTCGGAGCAATGTCCTGAAACTGTGTGCAAAACAAATTTAACACATGTTCTAGACATCTGGAAATTATTTTGCAACATGCTTCCTCTCCATTGATCGTCCTCCACAAGGGCAGAGGTGACGACTCTCCCAGCGGCGGGCACCCGATCCACCACACCCCGCACGCCAGCCTTCGGCACACCTCGTCGGGTGGCGCCAGCCCCACAGACTGGCCATCGCTCGGACGTCCATTCCCTGTGCTTTTTCGGTTTCGTGTGTTTTTTCCCTACCTAGGCTCTGCCTAGAAGGGTTCTTACTTTATAAGCTTAAAAGGCCGGGCAGTGTTCCTCGCCCCGGGCGGTTCCCCCGGCATCCGCCCCGCAGTTGGTTCCCCCTACTAATGTTCCCCCGGCATCCCCCCGGCATCCGGTTCCCCCTACTAATGTTGCTTCCCCCAGTGACGTTCCCTTAGCTTAGCGTTGCTTATCTCATCTTAGCTTAGCTGATTCCCTACCTAGGCTCTGCCTAGAAGGGTTCTTACCCTGTATGCTTAAAGGGCCGGGCAGTGCTCCCCGCCCCGGGCGGTTCCCCCAGGATCCGCTCCGCGGTTCCCCCAGTCCCTTGGGAGCTTTAGCTTTAGCTTTAGCTTTAGCTTAGCTTTAGCTTAGCTTTAGCTTAGTTTTAGCTTAGCTTTAGCTTAGCTTTAGCTTAGCTTTAGCTTAGCTTTAGCTTAGCTTTAGCTTAGCTTTAGCTGATGTTTACCTTAGTTTTAGCTTAGATGTAGCTTAGCTTTAGCTTAGCTTTACCTTAGCTTTAGCTTAACTGTATCTAGCTTTAGCTTAACGTTATCTTAGCTTTAGCTTAGCTGCTACTAATGCTGCTTTCGTAGGGGCTCCAACTCCTAGGTAGGGTCGCACTGGGATATTTTTTCGCCAAATGATCAAGGACGCTCCTCGATGGTCCCCGCCGAAGGAAAGATGCACACGTCCGAGCGATGCCAAGCAGAGGGTGTGACAACGCCGCCCGTCCGAGCAGAGGCAAAGCGTCGGCTGACCGACGCAGCCCCTCCTCCTTCCCCCCTCCCCCTTGTGTCTGGAAGAGGGGGGTCGCCAGGGGTCAGAGGCCTCCAAAACGGCCTCGGCGATGAAGCCAAACTCATTGATTGTAGTGGTTGTGGCCACAGTTTCGCCTTCAATGGGGGGTGCAAATTGAGGAGCTCCCCGATGTTGATCGATTCCTCCAAGATGACCCCAAAATGGCCTCGAGGCTCGCAAGGTGCCCCAAGACGGCCCCAAGATGTACCCAGGATGCTCCAAGAGGCCCCCACGAGGCTCCTAAGAGGCTCCCAAGAGACCCCCAAAAGGCCCCAAGAGGCCCCCGAGAGGCAGGCCGACATCATTGATTACACGATGGTTTTGGCCTCCTGGGGGGCGACCCTAATTTAGGACCTCCCCCCCTTCGATCCACGAAACGTGTAAGGGGTACGCCGAAATGGGCGGAGAACCGCATGCGAACTTTGCCACGGCCGTCGATGGAGCTTCCCGTGGGGCCACGTAACGTGTGAAGGGTGCGCCGAAATGGGCGGGGAACCGGATGCGAACCTTGCCCTTGGAGGCCACGAAGCGCGTGAAGGGTGCTCCGTAATGGGCGGGGAACCGCATGCGAACTTTGCTACTGCCGTCGATGGAACTTCCCATGGGGCCACGGAACGTGTGGGGGGTGCGCCGAAATGGGGGGGGAACCGCATTCGAACCTTGCCCCTGGAGCCTTCCGCGGAGCTCCCTATGAGGCCACGCAGCGCGTCAAGGGCGCGCCGAAACGGGCAGGGAACCGCATTGGAGCCTTCGGCGGAGCGGCCGCGAAGCGTGTGAGGGGCGTGCCGAACTAGACATGCGGAGGGCAGAGTCAGGGATGAGAGCAGAAAGCGGGGAGAGCCCAACATCGGATCGACAAATCGGATCGGCGATCGAAATGAGTCGGATCAGGGGAAATCGGCAGCCAAGTCGGAAGGAATCGAATCGGCGAACATCGGCAGAGTAGTAATGCTTAATTGAAACATCGGAATCCAAATCGGAATCCAAAATCGAATCGAATCGGAATCGGAAGCCATCGAAAACGAATCGAATCGGAGGGATCGAAAAGAGCCCTGGAGGGGGGGAGGAGAGAGGAAGAGGAGGAGGAAGCGGAGGAGGAGGAACGCGGGGCGCCGCCTTCCAAAGCGAAAAAGAAACAATTTTTAATATTCGCGATAACGGCCCTTACTGGCGGCGCCACCACGGTAGCGTCATGATTCGCGCCGGCGGCGTCTGGGAATGCCTTGAAAATATGGCACGCTGCTAGGGCTAACATACAAGTACGACAAGCAATGGTATACAAGTGCGATGCTAGTATTACTGCTGTTGCTACTACTACTACCACTACTACTACTACTACTACTACTACTACTGCTACTACTACTACTACTTCTACTACTACTGCTACTACTACTACTACTACTACTACTACTACTACTACTACTACGACTACGACTACGACTACTACTACTACTACTACTACTACTACTACTACTACTACTACCACTACTTCAACTACTACAACTACTACGGCTACAACTACTACCACTGCTACTACGACTGATACTGCTACAACCAGTGCTACTACTACGGCTACTCCGAATTCTACTACTGCTGCTACTACTACTACTACTACTACTGCTATTACTACTACTACTACTACTACTACCACAACTACTGCGAATACTACTACTACTACTACTACGACTACCACTACTACTACTAATACAAATAATGATGATACTACGAACACTACTACTACTACTGAGACTACTACTACTACTACTACTACTACTACTGCTACTGCTACTGCTACTGCTACTCTTGCTACTGCTACGGCTACTTCTACTGCAGCTATGACTACTACGGCTGCTGCTACTAGTACTTCTACTTGTCATGCTACTATGATTACTACTCCTGCTACTACTACTACCACTACCACTACAACTATTACTACCACCATGACACCTACAACACTGCAGCTGCTCCAACTGCTCCGGATACTGCAACAACAAAAGAAGCAACGATTACTACCACAGCCACTGCCAGTACGACTACGACTACGACTACGACTTCTGCTACAACTACCTACTACTACTACGACGACTACTTCTACTACTACTACTACTACTACTACTACTACTACTACTACTACTATTACCACTACTACTACTACTACCACCACCACCACTACTACTACTACTACTACTACTACTACTGCTGCTGCTACTACTACTACTACTACTGCTACTACTACTACTACTACTACCACTACTACTACCACTACTACTACTACTACTACTACTACTACTACTACTACTACTACTACTACGACTACTACTACTACGACTACTACTGTACCACCAGTCATCGTCGTCGTCGTCGTTCTCTTTATCCCCCGCCTCTCCTCCCTGTGGTGGCACCACTCGGTGGGCACGGGCCCCGTGGAGTGCAGTGACAAAGCCAGTTGGATAAGACGCGGTCGTGCGAGGTCGAGCTGGTACCCACTGTGGTGCAATCTACATGGTGGCAGTAGCAGCAGCAGTAGCAGTAGTAGTCGAAGTAGTACGAGTGAGAGTAATAGTAGTACAAATAGTAGTGGTAGTAGTAGTCGTAGTAGTAGTAGAAGCAGTAAAAGGTGGCAGTAGTAATAATAGTCGTAGACGTAGTAGCAGTAGTAGAAAGTAGTAGCAGAAGTGGTAGTAGTAGTAGTAGTAGTAGTAGTAGTAGTAGTAGTAGTAGCAGTCGTGGTAGTCATAGTCGTAGTCGTAGTCGTAGTAGTAGTAGTAGTAGTAGTAGTAGTTGAAGACATCGTAGAAGTAGCAGTAGTCGTAGTTGTTAGTACATAGTAGCTAGTAGATAGTAGTTAGTAGTTCGTAGCTAGTAATAGTAGTGATCATCCAAGCAGTCGTAGCAGTAGTAGTAGTAGTAGTAGTAGTAGTAGTAGTAGTAGTAGTAGTAGTAGTAGTAGTCGTAGTAGTAGTTGTAGGAGAAGTAATCAGTAGTAGTAGTAGTAGTAGTAGTAGTAGTAGTAGTAGTAGTAGTAGTAGTAGTAGTAGTAGTAGTAGTAGTAGTAGTAGTAGTAGTAGTAGTAGTAGTAGTAGTAGTAGTAGTAGTAGTAGTAGTAGTAGTAGTAGTAGTAGTAGTAGTAGTAGTAGTAGTAGTAGTAGTAGTAGCAGTAGTAGTAGTAGTAGTAGTAGTAGTAATACTGGTAACAGCAGCACGCTTGTATACCATTGCTATTTCCTTTCTCCATGTACGCCCTGACAGCATTACACTTTTCCTAAGCATTCCCAAGCGCCACCACCGCGAATCGTGACGGTACCGGCTCCCTCCCCCCGGTAACGGCCGCTTTCGCAAAGAAACAATACATTGTCTCGAACCCAACACCACAAGATGGCTGGGACAAACCATAGATCCGAGCTCGCAAAGTCACGAACTAGTCAAAGCATTCTACATCCGCGTCCCGACCTCCCAACTAGCCATCGCTCGGACGTCCATTCCCCGTGACTTTGTCGGTCGCGTGCATCTGCTGTTTCGCAAGATTGTCCAGGATGCTTCTCGTGGGTCCCCCCCGAGAAACACGCGCAAGTCCGAGCGATGCCAAGCCAAGGCGGCCCCAGGCAGGCAACAAATGCAACCACGATGCCCCAAGATGCCTCGAAGACGGGCCAAGATACGGGCCACGGTGGCCCCACGACCGCCGAATATGACCTCAAGCCTGCGCCCAAAAGGGCCCCCAAAGGACCTCCAACAACGATCGAAGAAACCAAACTCATTGATTTCCCGTAGGTTTGTGAATTGTGATATCATTCTCGCCTCTTCTCGGGCTGCCGTCATCTCAAGATGGCCCACAATACCCCACGATGGCCCTAAGACTGCCCAAGAGGCCCCCACGACGCCCAAAGATGGCCCAAGGGGATCCCGCAAAGGCTCAAGAAGCATCCAAGACGGCTTCCCTTGGGACCCAAGGCTGCCCGAATGGCCCGTCGGCTGCCGAAGACGGCGCCTAAACGGACCCGCGACGGTCCCCCAAAGACTACCCAAGAGAGCCCCACGACAGCCGAAGAGGGCCCCAACCCAGCAAAAGAGGGCCCAAATTGCCCCAAAGACTGCATCACAGGAGGCCAAGATGGCCACAGGACGGTCCAAATGAGGGCCGTGAGAGCTCCTCACATAGTGGAGACGAAACGTGTCACATGTGTCGGCCTTCCTCGTGCTCTTCCTCCTGCTCCTCGTCCTCACCGTCATCACCATCTTAACCATCATCATCGCAGCTCTCCCAAGCCTGGAAGCACGAGGTGTCACGCGTGACGGCCACCCGTCCCCCCTCGAATAATCACCGACCAGGATGCTGGGCTGGCACGGTAGCTGAATATCAAGGTATGACCTTCACAGATGCATGGCCCCGACCACAAGATTACAGTAGGAGCTCGACCACAAGAAACCTCCCACAACACGCAAACGTGAAACCCCAGGACGTCCATCGATTTTGGGCGTGGGAACGTCATGCTATCCATCGCAAAATCATTTACATACAAGAAGACCAAGGAACTATGGATGCAAGCAGGGTGTTTCTTGGCGTCGGTTTCCACTGTAGCTGGACATTGGGGTATGACCTTCACAAAAACATGGCCCCGACAACGAGTTTCGCTATGTTCGGCGATGACGGGCGTCATGGGGGGGGCGGGGGGCGGGGGGGGTGTGACGTAACGCCCCCGCGCGCCGTGTGGCTCCGGCACCACAGCCTTGCCAGCGCGCGCGACGCGACGAGCGACGACGACGACGACGACGACGACGCGAGCAGCATGTAGGTAGCGATCTGCCCCATTGCGCCCGTGTGCGCCACATCGCTCGCGTGCACCACGCCGCGCGTGTACACCACAGCGCCTGCGCACACCGCAACAACCGTGTGCAACGCAGCGCCTGTGTACACCACAGTGCTTGCGTACAGTACAGCGCGGTTGTACATATGTACACCGCCGCAGCAACCAAATGCAACAGGGCACCTGTGCACACCACGCTGTTTGCGTACACCGCAGCGCTTGTGCACGCCACAGCGCCTGTCTACACCGCAACACCCGCGTGCAACGCAGCGCTGGTGTACACCACAGCGCCTGCGTGCCCAGGACTGGTAGGAACATGTACGTGAGGATCTGCTGCGGACAACTAAACGCCACGCCAGAAAAGTGTTGATAATCGAATGCGACGCTCTTCCCTCCACCCTCTTCCTCCACCTCCACCTCCACCTCCTCCTCCTCCTCCTCTTCCTCCTCTTTTTCCTCCTTCCCCCCTGTCGTGAGAGTTGGCGCTGCAGCGCACGTGCGCATCACAGCGTGCACCGCAGGATGGTCTATTGAATCGGTCCACTTGGTTCTCGGACGGCCAATTTCGCTGGAACCTCCTGGACGCAGATGGATTTATTAGGGTGATGCGGGCGGACTCGGAAGGACTCGTAGATTCCAGCGGCGCTCCTTTGTCCATGGGGATTCCTTTTCTATTGTTTCCTGTGGAATCCACAAGCGCTCCATTTTATCATAAGGATTCCTTTCAACATTTTATAAACAACAGTGGTGCTGTGGTGCACACGGCCGATGTGGTGTACGCAGGCGCTGTGGTGTACACAAGACAATTGTGCCCGCGCTCACGGTGGCACAAAGTGACGCTGTGTTGCACGCGGTTGCTGTGGTGTACATAAGCGGTGTGGTGTACACAGGCTCTGTGGCGCACGCAGGCACTGTGGTGTACACAGGCGTTGTGGTGCAAATCGCCACCTACATGCTGGTGCTACCCGTCCTCCGTCATTCCTAAGCATTCCCAGACGCCGCCGGCGGGAAACGTGACGTGATCGACCCCCTCCACCCCCACCTAGATGATTGCCGTCATCGGCCCAGAATAAAAAACAGGCTCCAGCCGCGTCCGCGCGCACGACGTCGATGAGCGACGAGCGACGAGCGACGAGCGACGACGACGACGACGACTGCGGACCACTCCTATGCGGATTCCTGCGCGGACACCTGCGCGGATCCCAAGGCGCACGGCGGCACTGCCCGGAGCGCAGTGGGGGGGGGAGCGTTACGTCATAGGGGGGGGTGGCGCGGGGGCCATGACGCCCGTCATCTTCGTCATCACCATCATCGTTCAAAGCAGTCCCGGGGGACTGCTTTCAATCGTCGCATCGTCCTGATCATAAGGGCTTTCGGATTAGGGGGGGGGGCGCGGGGGCCATGACGCCCGTCATGCCCCCAGCAATAGAGAAACGGGCTCCGACCACGGAGCATCACACCTGCACCGATCCAGGCCCTGCCGGGCCCGGGCGCGAGGACGTCGGCGCCTGTGGCGCCCTCCTGGCTCGAGATCCTGGGCGCCGAGATATTGGCCGGCCTGGCGATGGACAAAAGGGGGAGGAGACGAACTCGAACACTTTGGGGATCGTCTCTGCCTCCCTCCGACGCCGGGGCGGCCGTGGAGGGCCAGAAGACACGGGGCTAAGGGATAGGAAGAGCAAGAGGAGTGCACCAGAGGAGGGGGGGCATGATGTTGACGAAGACGAGGACGCGAAGAGCCAGGGAGAGAAGGCTTGGTGAGGAGGAGGAGGAGGAGGAGGAGGAGGAGGAGGAGAAGTAGGAGAACGCGAAGCAATAGGATGAGGAAGAGGAGGGTGAGGAGCAGAACGAGCATCAAGAGAAGACGGCAGCGGAGAAGGACGAGCAGCAAGACGCGGGGGGGGGGAAAGAGAGACGAGCATGAGGAGGAGGACCAGGGGAAGAAGGACGACGACGACGACGACGTCCGCGACGTCCGCGGATGACGACGACCACGACGAGGCCTCCTCCTCCTCCTCCTCCTCCTCCTCCTCCTCCTCCCCCTCCAGGAGAACGACGACGACGCCAGCGGCAGGCGCCGCAGGACGGCTGCGCGGGCGGCTGCGGGGCGGCCGCGGGGCCGGTCCTGGGTGGGCTTCTGCTGGCCGACCCGCCCCTCGCCGGGGGGCATGGGGGGGCGGCGGCGGAGGGGCGGAGCGCCGGCCCCTGGAGTTACGTCGGCCTACAGGGACATGTCCAACGACAAATAGAAAATAAAAAAAAAAAAAAAAAAAAAAAAAAAAAAAAAATCCAAAATGGTCAAGAAATGCTCCAAAAATAGTCCCCGGACTATTTTTGGGGCTATGTTGGGTGTTTGTTTCTTTTGTTTTTTTTGTCGTCGAAAATCCCCCTGTAGGGGGACACGCCCGACTTAGTAACCCTGGAGGGGGCAGGGGGGGAGGAGAAGATACAGGGGCCCAGGCAGGGACACGCGAACGACGAGGCCCCAGTCCCAGGTTTTTCGTACTTCCAGGGTCTTCGTCTTCCCCCCGCCGTCCCATGTTCTCCCACACTTCCTGCGAGTCGACGATTCATTGTGCCGGTGTGCTGTTTCACCTCCTGAGAAGAACAAGAGGGGGGGAGAGGGAACAGAGAGGAGGGCGGGATGATCGCGAGGGGAAACACATCTGCCGACCCTTTGGTGTGTGTGTGTGTGTGTGAGACGCTGTCGTCGTCTTCGTCGTCGCCAGTCCAACGAGCACTTGAAGAACGAGCAGAGATCACAACGTCGTTAATAATTGAATCGCTTCCCTTCCCTTCTTCCCTTCCGTGACGACGGGGGGGGAAAGGGGGGGGGGGGCCCAATCAGTTTACCGTCCCCCAGGGGTCCCGGCAGGTCCTGAGGGGTACTTCCACTTGTGGACAGGCAGAACAGGAAGGGGTTCCACTTGTGGGGGGGGCCAGACCAGCCCAGGCACCAGCCTGGGGTCCCGGGGTCCCGGGGGGGGGGGGGGGCCCAGAATCCTGGGGGAGGTCCCGCCTTCAGGGTCGGCGGCACCGGCCGCAAGGCCGTCACAATAATATCGTCGGCACGCCGCGGTATGGAGCAGATGGGGGCCTAGATTTGATTAGGCAAGACTTCCTATTCACATGCCAGTTGGGCCCAAGTAAAACAAATACTCGTGCGAATATGCGCCACCGTGCCGCTGGGCACGGAGCGGGCGCGTCCTCAGGTCATTTGCCTAATCCTTTACGCCTCAATTCTCACTCATGAGGAGCCTTTAGGCAGCCTGAACCTCAAATTCACAAATCTCCTGAGCCTTCCCGCGTCTTGCCGCGTGACCGTTTCGGACCCAAGGTGGCCCCAACACAGGCCAAGAGGGCCCCAAGAGGCCCCCAAGACTATCCAAGAGGGCCCCGAGTCGCCGAACAATCGCTCCAAGACGCTCAAGATGGCCCGCAGACGGCCCAAGAGGCCTCCAAGACGCCCCAAGGGACCTCCAAGAGGCCTCCCAAGATGTCCCCAAGAGACGAACATCCTAGATGGTCATTAGGTGTTTGAATGATTTCGGCGTTCTCGCCTTTTCGGCTTCCCGACGCTCCAAGGCGGCCTACGGGGTGACCAAGATCGCCCCAAGACGGCCCCGGAGACCCCCAAGCTCGCCCCAAGAGGTCGGCCCCAAGAGAGGGGGCCCAGCGTCCCTGAGAGCTCTGACACACAACCCAGGAACGGTTTGGCGGCGCGCAGAGGGGGGTAGGGGGAGGGGGCAAGGCTTCTTAGGAGGCTCAAAAATCGCATCAATATCGCCCAAGAGGCCTCCAGGATGGCCCCAGAACGGCCCAAGAGGCCTCCAAGACGCCCAAGATGGCCTCCAAGGCAGCCCTGGAGCACCCCAAAAGGGTTTCGAGTCGGCCCAGAGAGGCACCCAAGACGGCTTCCGACGGCGTCGGACGGGCCAGGACCCACCAAGACGGCCCAAGATGGCTCCAAGATGGCCCAAGACGGGCCCAAGAGGCCCCCGAAGAGGTCTTCAAAACGGCCCAAGAGGCCTCCGTGAGGACCTCTTGGAAGGCCCGAAGAGGCCAACATCATTGACTGTCTTTGGGTTTCTGAGGGATTTGGCCAGTTGCTTCTTCGGGCTTCCGACGGCCTGAGACGGCCCAGGAACCCCCAAAGATCGCCCCAAGATCGCCCAAGAGGCCTCCAAAATGGCCCCAGAACGGCCCAAGAGGTCCCCAAGACGGCCCCAAAAAGGGCCCCGAGACGGCCCAGGAGGCCTCCAAGACGCTCAAGATGGACTCCAAGACGGGTGCCCCCAGAGGCTCCAAAGATGCCCCCTCCTCCTCCTCCTCTTCCTCATTGTTCCTCCTCCTCCTCCTCATCCTCCTGATCTTCCCCGCCATCCTCCCCCAAGTGTTTCCCGAAGGGCTTCCACAACGGGTGGGGGAACACATGGTCCGATAGCTTGGCAAAACTCTCGCCACAACGCTCGGCCACATGGGCGATTCCAAAAGGCAGGGGGCGGCGGTGATTCGCCGCAGGCGTCTTCGATCATGGTGAAAACGGGTTTCGAAACCGTGCCTCATCCAGCCCTGGAGGCGAGGGAGGAGGCCAATGAGAGGGGAGCCCGGATCTCTGCTGTCTCGGGGAGAGGGAAAGAGGGATGAGGGAGGGAGGATCGCGAGGGAAAGCGAGCATCGATGGCGCGCCGCCGTTTGGAGCCCGTCGGCGTGCTGCTCCGTCTTTTGTTGCAGGATGCTCTTTCTGTTTGTGTGCCCTCAGCGGCGAGGCGCCGAGGGGGTTCCACACGGCGGCGTGTCGCTGACTGATATTGTGGTGCTCCCCGGGATGAGGATGAAAGGAAGTAAAGGGGCCCACAAGCACACAAAGAAATACACACAGATAACAGGAATCCCCATATTTCCCCATATGTTCTGGGTTTCTGCCCCCCACTTCTCATAGTTTTCCATATGTTCCTCGGAATCGACGATTCATTGTGTCTGTGTGTGTTTTTGTCCCCTCCTGAGGAAGGTGGGGGGAGAGAGGGAGGAGGGACGAGGAAGCAAAAAAGGAGTCCGCAGAGAGGATGAGCAACGCCGGAGGAGGAGGGAGAGGCGTATGTACACGAGATTACAAGAAGGATGAAGCAGACGCCGACGACTGCTGCGCTGGATGCGACGGCAAGGACGTCGGCGACACTTGGCGCCGACGCCGACGACTGGGGCTGGCGACATTGGCGACGACGACTGCGCCGCCGCCGCCGACGCCGCCGCCGCCGACGAAGACTGTCTCGACGACTGTGCCGACGACAACGAACGACGACAACCGGTGCGGACGGCAGAGGCGTCGCCGACGCGACAGCCGCCGGCTGCGTCCAGCCATGGCACCCTCGTCATGGGGCAAGACGTCGACCGCCGACGACGATGACGACAATGACGATGACGATGATGGCGACGACGACGACGACAGTGACGACGATGACGCCTTGCGACCACGACGACGACCGCGCCCCGCCGCGCCGCGCAGAAGGCCTCGCCGTGCAGGCCGAAGCCCAGCTGGCCAAAGTCGTTGTAGCCCCACGTGTAGAGCTTCGGGCGGACGCGCGGGGCCGGCGCCGGTGCCGGCGAGAGGGGGCCAGCGCGCGCCCATCCTCCTCCTCCTCCTCCTCCTCCTCCTCCTCCTCCTCACCTCCTCCTCCTCCTCCTCCTCCTCCTCCTCCTCCTCCTCCTCCTCCTCCCCCTCCCCCTCCCCCTCCTCCTGGGTTGGGGCGCCAGCAGGGGCATGGATGAAGCCTCAATCGCCCACGGGATCCCCAGAAGCCTCACCCCCTCCATGGGACCAGCTTCTCCATCCCGAGCTCGATGGTTCCGGAGCTTTAACGGTGCCCCTGGAGGTTCAACATAGCGAGCAACAAACACACATGGATTCACATATACACTTACATGCACACATGCACACTTACATAAACACACACATACATACATACATACATACATACATACATACATACATTCATACATACATACATACATACAGACAGACATACATACATACATGCATGCATACATACATACATAAATACATACATACATGCATGCATACATACGTACGTACACATGTACATACGTACACACGTAAACACGTACATACATACATACATACATACATACATACATACGTACGTGCGTACATACATACATACATACATGCATTCATGCATACGTGCGTGCGTGCGTGCGTGCGTGCGTGCATGCATGCACACATGCACACAAACATACCGACATATCTACACAGCTATATAGCTACATACATACATATCTACATGACTACATACATACATACATACATACATACATACATACATACATCCATGCATACATACATACATACACACATACATACAAACATGCATACATACATACATACATACATACTTACATACATACATACATACATACATACATACATCCATACATACACATACACACACATACATACATACATACATACATACATACATCACATACATACATACATACATACATCCATCCATCCATCCATCCATCCATGCATGCATGCATGCATGCATGCATGCGTACAGCCATACATACATGCATACATACATGCGCACACACACACACACACACGTGTCACGATTTGTTTGTATTGCTTTGTTTGGGCCACGACGTCAGGTCCCTAGAACATGAGCAGGGTGGTTCACCTCATCAGGCCTCATGGAGCTCGTACTGGCCTCGTCACTCCCACCTCGATATCAGTTGCTGTGCCTTGCGTGCGACTCTGCCGTTGCCGTATCTGCGTGTGGCTGGGAACATGGTTCTCGATGGTGCTGCCCCAATCCCCCCCCTGCCCGTTTTGCTACTCTCGGTTGTGTCCCGAACCTCCCTCCTCTCCCCCTGTCTCCCACCTCCCTCCACCGCTGCAGGCCATGGGCTAATTGCATGCGGCATCTGGACGCCCCTGCGCTGGTGATCGCCCCTGAGACCCCATATGAGGCGATGGTGTTAACGCAGACTCGCAACTGCAGTGATTCCGTGAGACCCCCAGATTGCCAGTGGGGGGGCACCGACTGAGCGAAGTCACCGCTGCCGAGGAGAGACGGTGTGCAAAACGCAAGGCCAACGCGCTGGTGTCGGGCGAGGGTAGAGACTGAAGGGGCCCTGGGACACACACACACACACACACACACACACACACACACACACACACACACACACGCACACACACATAAAAAAACACACACACACATAACATGATTCCCCATAGTTTCCCATATGCTCTGGGATTTTGTCTTCCCCGCCCCACTTCCCATATTTTCCTGGGGGTCGACGATGAATTGTGCCTGTGTTTTTGTTTGTCCTCTCCTGAGAGATGTCCTTTTTCTGCCGCCCTGTGCTCTCCGCTTCCCATCCACCATTGGGTCTCCCCCCCCCTCTGCACCTGACCTCTCCCCATCCACCCTCTGCTGTCCACCACACTCTCTGCCCTGTACCCACCAGCGTCTACGTTCTACCCCCTCGCCTCTGCTCTCCTCGCTCTCCGATCTGCGATCGCTGCTCTTTGCACCCCGCTCCACGCTGTCAGCTCTCTAGCCTCTACGACCCTTGCTCCATACTGCCCCTGCCTTTACTACCCTTACCTACTACCCTTGCTCGTACTCTCCCCTCTCCCCTGCCCTGTAATCTCCGTGCTATCACGGTTCCCTCAAGTATCTACTCTGGGAGCCCTGGAACACGGCCGCCCACCAAACTCGGCGGCACACTTCCACCAGACCCTTTCAGCACCGCAACCCAAAACCCAGAATCGGGAACCCGTAGACTAAGCCGTCCACCGAAATCGGTGATGCACGTCTGCCAGACCCTTACGATCTCCGCAACGACACTTGCAAGCACCGATGGGGGAACTTCAGCAGCCTGCCCGCCTGTCGAAATCGGTCTGGCAATTTCGCCAATCTCTTACAAGTCCCGCGAGGATCCACGCAAACACTGACTGGATAATGCCAACAGCGGGAGACTGGTGGGCCTGCAAAATAAGCATAAGCAGCAGACAATCCGCTGAACGACATGGCTTCACACTCAAAGACACAGCCCCAGACGAGCGAGCGCTGTCCGCCAACGACTGCGTGATGTTTAAAGGGTAACGTTACGGGGCAACCGTTTCTTCACACACACACACACAAGTCACGTGCGCACTCAGGCGCTCTGGTGCGGGGACAAAAAGTGTCCACGCCGACGGCGTGAAGACAATCAGGCATGCCCATACCCAAACCCAAAGTTGAAGTGTCCATATATTCCGTCCCCCGCGCGTTGCCTCACACCCAACCCCGTCAACTTTGGGTTGGGGGGGCGGGGGCTATGGATATTTGTTCGACGCAATTCGATGTCGCATCATCTTGGCGCGATGGGTGTGGACACTGTTCGTCCACCCACCGTCATGCGTGCAGTTGGGCAGTGCCAATGTGCATGGAGGTCTCCTCAACGGGGTCGGAGGATCGCGCCGCATCGCCAATGCATTGCCGATGCATCGGCGATGCATCAGCGACGTCGGCGACGAATCGGCGTCGTCGCGTGAGCAAATATGGCTACACATCGATTCGCATCGCTGACGCATCGGCGGTGCGGCGCGAGCCTCCGACTAGATCTACCGGGACCCCTCTTGAGAGCCCTGGAGTCGGGGGCGTGAAGAGGGATGTGTCCAAGAGGAGGGTTCGGCAATCATGGCCCCCGATGCACGTGCGCGGCTGGGGGGGTGCCGAAGAACGTGTTGAAGCAAGGAGGGGGCCATGAAATCCAAGGAGGGGGCCATGAAATCCAGGGATATACCATGGCCACGGCCATGCTACCCATCCTCCTAGTCATCACCCCCCGTTCGGACACCCACTATGAAATGAAGAGTTCCCGCCTACGCGAGCCCATTTCGAGTCGCAAGCGTATTGGCTGGCCCTTAAAGGACGCTAGTCGCTGCGTTCTTTTTTTTTTGTTCTCTCTCTCTCTCTCTCTCTCCCTCTCTCGGCCAGGCGGTGGCCGACAGGGCCAAGCCGAGGGGGTGGGGCTGCACGCCAGAGCAAAACGAAAAAACACACCACCACCACCACCAAGCCAACTCAAGCCCAACTTGGGCCCAGATCCTGGTGCACCAGGGAGCCATGTGCACTTCGGACTGGCCCCTGAAGCGGGGCCCTCTGTCTTCTGCGGAGCAACGTCGTGAGGGCCCGGAGGAGGGGGCAGGCGGGGGCCGTCAGGCGATGGGGCAGGCGTGGGCGTGACCCCGGGGCCCAACCATGGCGCCAAGTCCAGGCTGTGACAGAAAACGCCTGTTGCTTACGATGTGTCGCCTGCGACACGTTATTTACTCACGCCCCTGCGAAGGCTGTGGTTCATTTCGGTGACATAAGTAGGGGATTCGATGATGTGGAGACCTGTGCCGGAAGCGGGCGGGAACAAACAACATCCCGTCACGCACGAGGGCGTCGTGCTTCCTCGGCCAACATGGGCAAGACAGAAACCCTTCTCCGTCGGAGCGTGCAGCCGTCACGGGCCAGCGGGGAGCAGGACCGACAAAAGTCGGGCCGGGCGAAAAGGGGGGTTAGCAAAGGGGGGGTTTGAGAATCAGCTCGCGTAGCTGAGTTTCCCGGCGCCTCCTGGCGCCGGAGGCGGCTAGGTATCGAGGACTGGGCCCCTCGGTGGGGCCGAAACCAGCTGCATGGAGCAAATTTCGTACCCCCCCCTTTCCCAATCCCCCCATTTCGTCCGGCCCGAGAAAGACCACGCAGGGAGCGCGTGGGAGCGGCGGCCTTGCCCTCTTTGGTCAGCACGCCCATGTGCTGGTCTCCCGCGCGCACCTGCGTCAGCTTGAGGCCCTGGCGGGTGCGCGGGCAGGCGGCACGCGCATCCCCCTTGAGGCGAGGCTGCCGGGTGAGAGAGGCGAGACAGTGCCATATGCGCCTGCGTGCGAACTCCATGGCAACACGAGAAGATGCCAATCATCCAGATCCTCCTGCTCGGCGTCCTTCAACTCTTCCTGCTGATGTCAAATCCCCCACGCGGCCTCCAGGGGACCCAGTCCGAGTCAAGCGCTGCCAGAGAAGCGGGCGGCATGGACAAAATCTGCCGGGAGGAACTCCTGCGCCGTAGCCTCCTCGTCGCCCCCCCCTCCCCTCTCTATCCTCCTCATCCACGCCCTCAGAACCTCCCCTTCCCCCCTGCTATCTTCCGAATCGTCCTCCTCTCTCTGCTCCCCCCCCCTTCATCCACCTCCTCATCGTCCTCCCCATCGGGTCGCCAATGGCCTGCGCTGTGGCGTCGTGGGGCGGAGCCGGCGCCGCGTTAGCCGTGGCGCCGCGGGCGCTGTGGCGCGGCAGCGGGCGAAGCTGCCTCGGCGGGCCCACTTCTCCACCACCGCTACCATAGGTAGGACAGGAGGAGGAGGAGGAGGAGGAGGAGGAGGAGGAGGAGGAGGAGGAGGAGGAGGAGAAGGAGGAGGAGGAGGAGGAGGGGGAGGAGGAGGAGGAGGAGGAGGGGGGGGAAGGAGGACGACCAGGAGGAAGAAGAGGAGGACCTCATCATCCTCCCTGCCTCCCCCACCGTCCTACCAGATGGTAGCGGTGGTGGAAGATGTGCCCATCCTGTGCACGTGACCGTCAGGCTCTTCCTCACGGGCCCCGAGGAGGGCGGAAGCGCGCGCAGGCACGAGCAAAGCGTGCGCAGGCACAAGAATGTTCCCGTTGATGACTCTCTAATACCAGCTCCTCGCATCACCCAGTGAGACTCTCCTGGCTTTGCTTAAGTCGGGCCTGTCCCCCCTACAGGGGGATTTTGGACGAAAAATAAAAAATACCCCAAGCATACTCCAAAATTGTCAAACAATAATTTAAACACATCGTCCCCAGACTACTTTTTGACTATCTTTGAATATTCCCCCTGTAGAGGGACAGGCCCGACTTACGGCTTCGCCGTCGGGCGACGCGCGCAGCGACAGAAACTGACTCGCGGGAAGCGTGCCGCACCACCGACGATCCCGCCACACCCTCGGGCGGCCATTCGACCGCGGGCCAACGCTCACCACCCACCAAACCACCCCCAACCCAACCCGAAGGCTCAGATTTACCCTCGGTTTCCAGTGGGGGGGGTCGGGAAACATCGAAAAAACACATGTGGAACCCTCACCCCCCCCAACCCGAAATTCGGGTCTTCGGGTTGGGTTGGGGTGGTCTGGTAGGTAGTCAAACGCCCGCAGAGGGCAGAACGCAACGGCAGAGGCGGCGGGCTGCCGCGACGGCGCGGGCACTGGCTTCGGCCCCGAGGCCTCCGAAGCCGCGACCGGCCCCGTACGAAACGCTGGAGGCCTCCGGAGCAAGGCCCGAGTGATTGGCTGGGGTCGGAAGGCCGCGCCACATCGCCGATGCATCCCCGGCGTCGAGAAAACTGGGCTCCACATCGTGCCGCATCGCCGATGCATCGGCGATGCAGCGCGATCCGCCGCCCCCGTCTACGCCGGTCCCGCTTGGGGAGCCTAGCAAGACGTTACCCCGTCCAAGAAGTGCCGAGTACTTCCACCAAGGACGGCCGGTCGTGAAGGGGAACTGGGACACACAACAAATAAATAGACACAAATATCCAGATTCCCCATGTTTTCCGGGTTTCTGTCTTCCCTCCCACTTCCAATTTTTTCACATTTTTTCTGGGGAATCGGCGATTAATTGTGTCTGTGTGTTTTTTCCCCTCCTGATGCCATCCTGGGTGAATGTTTGATGGCCTCGGGCCCTGGAAGCTTCCCCGATGCCGAGGTCGAGGGATGCCGTCTGCATCGGGAAAGATGAATCCGCCGGGCGGTCTGGGCTCGAACCATCTCAAGCCGAGGAGGCTGCCAGGGGGCCCTCGGCCCGGAATTTGGACGCCCGAAATGGGCACGGAAAAAATGGGTACCATGCCCAGAAACAAATGTTGCCCCAAACCAACAGCGACCGCTGTTGGGCAGGCGGCCTTCTGTCGAATGGACACGGGCCGCGGCGGAGCGGACGGCGAGTCCTGTCCAACAGGAGCAGGAGCTGATGTTGAGCATTGTACCCATTCTTTCCGTGCCCGTGTCGTTCGTGCAGACCAGTATCTGAGAATTTTCTTAGGGTGGAGGGCTCAGGGTGAAATCCATGGCGTTTGCGCCTCGACAATCAATTCGTTTTGTGATTCACTTTTTGCAGATTCAAGCCTCGAAAATCCATCGAAACAGCATTTCGAATTTCACCCTCTGCCCTCTACCCAAAAACGTGCCCATCTCGTTCGTGCAGACGGAACATCCGCGCCCGCGCTGAACAGGCGCAGACGGAGGAAGGGGGACAAAGGCAAGGAGGCTGGAGGGGGGAGCAGACTCGAGAGGGAAGGCGCGAAGGATACAACCGATAAATCCGAATTGCTATGGGCCGCCGCACAGGCGGGACGAAAGAGCTTGCCCGGCCCAGACCCCCGCGATCCGGCACGACAAAGAAATTGGTCCCGGGGTGAACGCTCCGATTGCAGTCTCTAGGGTTTCGCGCCCTGGCCACGCCTTGTTTCTCGCAGGAACTCGGGCCGAGACAAGAGAAACAGAGAGAGAGAGTGAGAGCAACATCTCGCTGACATTGTTACCTGAACCGTGGGGTCTCAACAAATCCTTGGACGTCCTGTGCCCCTAAATGATAAAACACAATGTATTGCTTGATCGCCGCCGCCTCCCATTGCTGGACTAAAATGTGATGCAGAGTATAACGCATGCCCCCGCCATGCTGCGACCCGAGCGGTATTTCGGTTGGATGCCGATGTGCTGTGCCGTATCGTTTTCTCTTCTGCACTCCTGCGCCAAAAAACTGCGCCTCCGGCCGCTCGCGCCTCCTCACATCCGCGCGTCCTTCCAATGCTTCTGAATAGTTCTCTCGCTCTGCCTGATTCTATACGTCTAGGCTACACGTGGCATGCACCTGGATTAATCATTTCTTTCAAAGTCTTGGGTAGACATGTGTTGAAACTTGCTAGGACAAAGGATTGTCACACAATTCGTGGTTGCGATCGTCGTTGCTCTCCCTGTTACCTCCAAAACCCTAACTTAGAAATCTGAGGGGTTGGAATACAGGCTCGTATGGGAGGAAGAGCGGCGTGGACGAGGTCGGACGAGGGGGTCGTAAAATGGTTCCCTTCTCTTGCGGCGTTGGGCAAGGCACCGTAATTGTGGCCGCAGCGTCGCGAAGAGAACAACAGGGGTTGGGCGGGACGTTGGACTGAAAATTCGGGCGTGGAGTGGGCTTGCCGTAGAGCTGACTTGGAGTCTAGAAGTATAGTGTAAACCATGGGGACGGGGGAAGGGGACGGGCACGGGTTCAAACAACTGGTTGATGGTCGAATGAGAAACGCACATTCGCGGAATGAATCACCCTGCGACGTCCTGAGCGCATGCGCAACATTTCCAGAACAACGGGTCAATTTGACACGGTGGCAGGGGATGCGTTTGCGGAAATACATGAGACGATGATACCGGGAGAAGTCTCTGAAGGGGCACTGGGACACAAAAAATAATAGACACTAATAGATGGATTCCCCCACATTTTCAAATATCTTCTGGGCTTTCGTCTCCCCCCCCGCTTCCCCTATTTCCAAATATTTTCGGGGGAATCGACGATTCATTGTGTCTGTGTGTGTTTTTATTCCCTCCTGAGTCTCCTTCGAATCTGGACGTGGCGTCCGTCCGCTCAGCCCCCCCGGAGAACACGAGCGCGGTGACAGTTCCGCAACTCGCCACCCCCCTGGAGGGCGAAGCCCCAACATCCGCGCGGCGCGCAGCGCCGAGCGGCGCGGAGCCTCCCAGAACCCAACAAAACGTGTGAATGATTGTCCCCACCGCTCGCGGTCCGCATGGGATCTGCGTTGCAGCGCGCTGCGCGCGGCGCAGCACGGGCTGCGCGAACAAGTCGACCGTGCTCGCAGCTCGCAGGCCGCACCTCACGAGAGCGCGCCGCCGCTGGCGGCTGCCGAACGCCAGCGGGAAACATGTTGTGTTCCAGCTCTCTTGCGCTGGGTTCTCGATTTGAATCACGCACTGAGGTCTCGAATCTGAATATCGGATCGATATCGACATGTGCGCTAGATCGGGCTGCATCGGAACTGAATCGAAATCGAGTCGGATCGGCACCACAAACATTCACAACCGCGCCGTGTACGCATCGGGCAGGCCGGAATCAATACCGAATCGGATCGATCGGATCGAATGGTCCCTGCAAGGGCCCAGATATTTCGGGTTCCAACGTTAGGGGGGTCCCCCACGGCCTCGATAGAGCACCGAAAGCGCCCCGAATGCATCCAAACTTGTCCAGTGAAGACGCCCAAAATACCCATCCAAACTTCCAAGAGGCCCCCAAACCGACAGGTCCGCGAACGCATTGTTTTGGAATACGGTTCCAACAGGATGGTTCCACGAACGTCGGTGTGGCGGCTGCCTCCGAGGTTGTTCCACTGCTTGCTCCTACATGTTTGTGGTCAAGGCAACTTGCCTGGGCATCGTGTCGAGGCGGGCTGGTGGGGACACGCAAAGCGTCGATCAAGTTCACCATCCCCCATTTCCTCTCCTCCCTTCTGGACCCTGACTCATCACTCCGCCCTTCCCTTCCCCTTCGTTTTTTTTTCCGGGGGAGGACTTGAGAGAAAGATGGAACATTTCGACTGAGACTGGGAGCATATGCGTCACCCGTGGATGCCTGGTGGTGCGTGCGTGCCTTCTCCCTTCCGGAGTGGGGGCCGTGCCTGGCGCAAGGACGGACACGACCTGCGCCTAAGAGGCCCGGGTGCTCTCCTGGAGCGGGCGGCGGCACCGGGTCAGTTCGCGGGCTTGTCGATGGGT